CCCCAAAACCCCAAAACCCCAAAGCCAATAAAATGTGCGATCAGGAAAATATTTATTGAAATCAATAGATAAATTAGATTTAATTAAGATTAATATCCTCTTTTCCAAGTAGATTAGGCTTAACTACTTTTAAAGTCTATCTTTATATCATTATCTCAATCAAGATATCTTTCACTGCTACTATTCCTATTCTGCTATCAATGTAGAAAATTTAGCATTATATCTCTCAAATATCTAACTAAGGATTTAATATTTCTCTGTTTCATCCTTATCTAAAGTGCTCATCGACAATGTTTTCATACTTTATTCCAAGTTGTGCATAGTTTTTTTAGTTTATATATTACTGAGTTTCTCTAAAACAGGGACTATAGAATAAAGCTACTTAATATTGAACTAATTAGATAGACCACTTAAAGCCTCTAGAATAACATTCCAGTATTCCTAGTCCTCAATCCTAAGTTCATAACTGCTCCAGACTAGGTTTGGGATAAATTGCAAAATCTATCTTTAATTATATGATTCTACAAATTCCCTAACATTTAACTTTAATCTCTCTACAGCTTTTTAAGAAATCATTTATGCATCTACTTCATCTATTTTGTGGAGATTCCTAGCTAAAGACCAGAGTAAATTCATCAGCAAGTAGGAATCAAGTTTCTGAAAGTTAATTTTCTCGTTCATTAATTTCATTACTGGCTGCCAAAAGTACTATTTATCTCCAACATTGGCTAAAGAAAAAGATGTTAGGCATTTGATAACTTTTTCTTGGTCAAACATAAAGCTTATCTTTTTTTTAAAAGCATTTAGGTATGGCTCCCAATCAAGGTTTTAACGAGTAGTTGTATTAAGTTAAGAAAGTGAGAACATGATATTCGTCAGTTAATGCCATTTAAGATTAGGCATTTAATCTTAGGTGCTCTTCTACTGAAGAAATGTTTTAAACTAACCCCAAAAAACTTATGTCCTAGATTATGAATAGTCTATAATTGAAAGACTTTTAGCTATCAAAATTAAGTAATATAGGTTGTACTAATTCATAATATTTTACTCCGCACACAGACTATCCAGAGTATCTAATATTACTCTCCAAAATTCTCGATATTAAGCCTCAGAATCAGGAATCAGAGAGTAAGCCCAAATAATTGTTGTGAGTGGCTGTAATTCAATAGTCTTTATCATATTATCATCTAATATATTATTTGCCATCATATCAAAAATATTCTTTGCCTCTTCAAACTTAAAAGATGTGTTAAACTTCTAAGTCATTTCAGTGGCAATGCCTGACATCATCATCAAGTATTCCTTCATTCTGAACTCTTTATCTATTCTTAATATCAATGGCTCAAAGGGCTTTATAAATTTTTGAAGCGATCCTTTCTCTGATCTTCCAAAAGCATTCAAAATGATAGAAATACCTGCATTATCAAAGTCATTTTTCTTTTTCAATACTAGATCACCATATGCTTACCAGAACAATTCAGAGCCGATGTTTAACTTTGAAAAAGTATATACAATAGAGCAGATTCCGATTGGTGCAAGTTAATCACTATCAATATCATATAAAAGGTGATTCTCAATGGCTTCAAAAAGTTTTATGTTTTTGTGCACATTCGGGATATCAATGTTGCCCAGTGACCAGTTTAAAATACCTATCTGCTCATAGTTCAATTACGCAAGAACAGCTGATTACGCGAAGGAAGTAGTAAGTAGATTTATAATGGGATCTAGATATCTTTAAGCATGCTTATCTATTCTTTTTATCTCTTTGGAGATAATGTTTATCATCTAGATTTCTAATGTAGGGTGTTTGCTCTGCTATATAGCATCTGCCAATTGCTTTATTTTATACTCTACTTGTTAGGTTTGTCCATTCTAAAGACTACGTAAGATGAATCTCATCTATTCAATTTTATCAATTTATGATTTATCATATTACTAATTCTAATTTCCTCTGGAGTCTATATTATTCTGAAAATGACCTTAATTCTGCTTCTCATAATTGGGCTTCGCCTGATTCTACCATTGATCTGTATTAAAAGTTTATTTATAGCTCTCCTATTTATCCTCTACAACAGTTGGTTTCTATCTATTTGCGAAAATACTACGAGATTTTTTAACCACTGAGTAACCCCTAAAACTAAATTAATTCTTCAAAGATTAAGGTTCCCTCCCAAAGGCTTGAAAGTTAAGTAATCTACTAATATTTTTGGAAGAGTTTATTTTCATTATTATACTTATGGTAAATTTAGAAATTGACTTATATTCTTTAATTTCAGCCACACGGGGTTTTGGGGTTTTGGGGTTTTGGGG